AAAAAAAAGGGGCTATGGATGCAGAGGGACACAAGGACCATGTAGTTTTAGTGACACTCCCTAGTGTTTCTTATTAATAGCTGGGTGGATTCACGTGGCTATTTAGCTTCCCTAATGGTTCATTACATTCTACAGGTAAGTTTATTTTTATTTTGCTATATATTTATTTCTGTCTCAAAAATGTTTTCAGTTTTAAAAAAAATTATAGATTTACAAAATTTACAAAAACACTCTTCTAAATAGACTTACTGGACAAACAAGAAAGAAATCATAATGGAAATTTAAAGATAGTTTATGACATGCTATATTTAATAGAAATACCAAAATACAGCACAAAACTTGTGGGAGACAGGTGGTATTTTCAGGATAATTTATAGCCTTATTTGAAAAAAAATAAAAATAAATGAACTATGCCCACTTTTAAAAAAAATTTTTTTTTAGATTTATTTATTTTGAGACAGAGAGACAGAGCATGAGCAGGGGGGGCAGAGAGAGAGAGGGAGACACAGAATGGGCAGGCTCCCACGTTCTGAAGCATCAGCCCAGGCCAGGCAGGCTCGAACCCGCAGGACCTTGAATGTGAGCCTGAGCTGAAATGGAATTACAACAGAGCCGAGACCACCAAACCCCCCAAACTATGCCCACTTTAAAAGTGGAAAAAAAGAGACAACAAACTCAAGAAAACAGGAAAGATATAATAAGATAAAACAGACATCAGGGCCCCTGGCTGACCCTAGTCAGTAGAGCATTTGACTCAGGATCTTGGGGTGGTAAAGTTTGAGCCTCAAGGCAGGATGGACCAGATTAGTTAAAAATTTAAAACTTAAAGGGGCACCTGGGTGGTTCCAGTTAGTTAAGCGTCTGACTTCAGCTCAAGGTCCCGCGATCTCACAGGTTGGTGGTTTGAGGCCCCCATCGCCAGGGCTCTGTGTTGACAGCTCCATGGAGCCTGCTTGGGATTACTGTGTTCCCTCTCTGTGCCCCTTCCTTGTAGTCCTCTGTTTCTCTCTCTCAAAAAAAAATAAATGAAAAACATTAAAATAAATAATTAATTATTAATTAATTAAAAATAAAAATCAGGAATGGAGCAATAAACATAAAATAGGATCAATAAAGCAAGAGTTGTTTTAGGAACAGGTAAATAAAAGCAGAACAAAGGCTGCAGAAGGTGATATGGACAGAGAGGGGCAGGCATGGTGAGGGAGAGAATGGGAGAATAGCGATGGCAGTGCAGTGACTGGAAAGGCAGGAGAGAAGGCTGCCCACGACTTGCTGGCAGCAATTTGGAAGATAAACAAGACAGGAAAAATTCTTTTAAAAAAAAAATGTGTGTGTTTGTATCTATATCTATATGTCATATAACTCACCAAAAACTGAATCTAGAAGAGAAGAAAGTCTGAATAGTCCCTATTAAAGAAATGGAATTGGTAGTCAATCTTTCTCTAAGTAAAACACACTGAGCCAACAGTTTTATAGGCAAGGGGCCGGGTGTCTCGAGGAATAGGTCGCAGGGAATCTTATGCAATCTTCAAAAAGAATGAAGCTTGAAAACCCTCCAACTCTTTCTGCTAATGCAAATATAACCTTAATTCTTAAAAAGCTGCACACAGGCAGTCTGACAAGGAGATTTAGAGGGCCAATCTCTCTTATCAACATAAAAGTACAAAAGTCCCAAACAAATATTAGCAAGTCCGATTTTAGAATGGGTACAAATTGTGGGGTACCTGGGTGGCTCCAGTTGGTTGGGCGTCCAGCTTCAGTTCAGGTCATGATCTCACAGTTCATGGGTTAAAGGCCCCACATGGGGCTCTGCATTGACAGCTTGGAGCCTGGAGACTTCTTTGGATTCTACGTCTCCCTCTCTCTCTTCTCATGTTCTGTCTCTCTCTCAAAAAAATTAAACATTAAAATAAATAAATAAATATACAAACAAACAAACATTTTTAAAAAGGAATAGGAGGGGTGCCTGGGTGGCTTAGTCAGTTAATCATGCAACTCTTGATTTCCAGCTCAGCATGATCTCACTGTTCATGAATTTGGAGCCCCACATCGGGCTCTGTGCATTTAACTTGGAGCCTGGGATGGATTCTGTGTCTCCTCTCTTTCTGCCCTCCCTGCTCCTCTTTCTCTCTCTCTCAAAATAAATAAAACATTAAAAAATATTTTTAAAAGAATGAGATACCTCTAGACACCCACCAGAATGACTAAAATTTAAAACTTGAAAATTATAATATACCCTAAGAATAAACCTATATCCTGAATCTACACAGAAAAAATGATATTGCAGGGGTGTACTATTTTTCACTTGGATAGGAAGAGCAATTTTGTACAGATGTCAACTTCCTAAATTACTCTCTAGATTCATTTGCAACTCCAAAATTAAAATCTTAAACACTTTTTTAAATGTTCACTGAGAGAGAGAAAAGAAAGTGAGCAGGGAAGGGTCAGAGAGGGAGACAGAGGATCGAAAATGGAACCTACTCTGAGAGTGGAAAGCCTGATGTGGGGTTCAACTCATGAACATTAGGATCATGACCTGAGCTGTAGTCAGAAGCTTAACCAAGTAGTACAGGCACCCATTAAACATGTTTTTAATGCATGTTTTGCATACATGTTATGCTTCAATAATTTTTTTTTTTTTAATTAAAATTTGGAGACATGGGTACCTGGATGGTTCAGTTGATTAGGCTCGACTCTTGATTTCAGCTCAGGTCATGATCCCTGGTGTCGTGAGTTTGAGCCTATTGAACTCTCTGACAGTGTAGACCTGCTTGGGATTCTCTCTCTTCTCTCTCTCCCTCTCTCTCTCTGCCCCTCTCTGCCTCTCTCTCTTTTCAAATAAATAAACTTTTAAAAAAATTTAAAAAGCAAACACAAATTCAGGAGTGCCTGGCTGTTTCTGTCCCCAATGTGACTCTTGATCTCTCAGGCCTGTAAAGTTTAGAGCCCCACGGTTATGGAGATTACTTAAAAATACAGTCTTTAAAAAATGAATAAATAAAATATAAAAAATTAAGAAATTCTGTTTATGTAAAGTCACCATGGGAGAAGGAAAAGACAAACCACTTTTCTCATTTTGTGAAAAGTTCATTTGTAAAGCACTATCACGACAAAGGATAGACAAAAAGACAGGGAGGTAAAAGGCAGAAGAGGAATTTCTGAAGAGGAAAAGACTTAGTCCCTGCATACATAACTGAAAGATGCTCCAAATGCATTTGTAATAAAGATAATTCAAAATAGATACCTCAATGAGATTTGTAACCACTAGACTGAGTAAAGTCTGATGACGAGAGCCTGGGTGGCTCAGTCGGTTAGCGTCGACTTCAGCTCAGTCCGCGATCTCGCTGGTCCGTTGAGGTTCCGGGCGTCAGGCTCTGGGCTGGCTCAGAGCCCACAGAAGCCACTTCCCCATTCTGTGTCCCCCCACTCCTCTCTGCCCCTCCCTGTTCATGCTCCTGTCTCTCTCTGTCTCAAAAATAAATAAATGTAAAAAAAAAAAAAAAAAAAAAAAAAAAAAAGAAGTCTGATGACTCGGGCCTGGAAGTGATTTGGTTCAACAGAGACTCTCCGTTACTGCTGATGGAGGTGGTAACAGTCTGCTGTTGACCTCATAAGAATGGACAGGCGCTCTGTGACCTATGTCAAGGTCTACACCTGGAGAAACTCTTACAAATGTGCAGATAAAAAGGATGTTCATAGTGACACTCTTCATGGTAGCAAAAGAGTGGACATGATCTGAAGCGTTCATCAACAGAATGGGATAACAGAGGTCTAACCATCCGCCTTTTATCCATAAAAGTAGAAACAGAATGGTGAGATGAGCGTGCAGAAGTTACAGGCAACTGTGTACAATATGACATCATTACTAGCTCAGCACCAAAAAAGCGTATTATTTAGGTAATGTATATATTTATTAAAGCGACAAAATGTAAATGGTGATAAAAGTCAAGACGAGTGATTATCTCTCTGGGGTGGGGCAGGCAAGGGGGGTAATAGGAGAGGAGAGAACTACTTGTTAGAAGACACCCCAGGCATTGGTGGTGTAAGCTAGGTCTTGAGATGGGTAGCTGATTTATTGGGCATTCAATTTCAAACATCATGGCCCCAAGGCCAAAGGCGGAGGGGGTGCCTGGCTCCAGTTAGTGGAGATACAGCCCGCCAAATCTCAAGGTTGCAAGTTCAAGTACCGAGCATGAATTTAAAAAAAAAAAAAAAAATCGGATCTTAAACTGTTGTCTAGCATTGGCCAAACAGGGTAAGTTCGGAACTGGAATAGACTCACACACCATCAGTCTACACCCTGAGGGCGGCCTGATGAGTCTCAGGCAGCACGGCTAATGGACCTTGGTGGGTTTATACTCACTTGTTCTGGAGGGGAGAACAAACAGGCCAACATGTAGACAGGGAGGAGATTTAGGAGAGTGCTTAAAGATGAGAAGAGAGGAAGCAGAGCAGGAGGATGGGAAGGAGAAAACACAGCAGAGAAAGGGGGGGAGGGCATACTCACTGGGAAGAGGGGGCAAGGAGCAGGGGAAAGCTTAGGGGCAGGGGAGGGAAGAGGAGGGAAAGAGCCGTGGTCTCCAGTCAGCCTAGTAAACAACACAGTCCCTGGGCACCTAACAGCGTGCTTCCCCTGAGAAATATTCACAACTTTAAAGACAGGTTTAGGGGCACAGCTCCAGTCGGTTAAGCGTCTGACTCTTGATTCCTACTCAGGTCATGATCTCACGGTCTGTGGTTGAGGCCCCAGCAGGGCTCCCACTGACAGTGCAGAGTCTGCTTAAGATTCTTTCCCTCCCCCCGCCTCTCGTATTACAGAAACATAGTTTTTTATTATCCTGATTTTCAGAGAGATGAAATAAATCGCTCAGCCAGTAAATGAAGGATCTGGGAGTCGGTCTGATTCCCCAGTCCTGGTCTTCCTGTGGCATCACCGTGCTGGGATGGTGGGGGGCGGCGGGGAGGGGGCAGCAGGGATGCTGGGGGGAGGGGCTGGCGGGATGAGATGGACCCAGCTGGGCTGCTGCCTGCAGGCCACAGCAGCCCGCTTCCCTCAACCTCTCTTCCAAACCGCAGGCTGGGCCGAGGAGGCCGGTGTCGGTGGCCCCGGCCAGTTAGAGGATCAGTTACCCAGTGCGACGTAGCAGACCCAGGGGTACCTCTAAAGCCCCTGTGTACCCTCCAGGTCCCTAGGTCCTGGCTGGAGATCCCCCACACATGCCCCCTTAAGCCAGAAGGCTGGGCACACTCTATATAGACTTTCTCGTTCCATAATTCTATGATTATCTTGTGAGAGAACCGCTGTCTTCGTTTCTTCCCACAAATTATAATTTCGGCTCCCAAACTGAGAAATGTGGGGTCCACAGAAAGAAGCAGTTATCACAGTTAGGGGAACAGGGGCCTTTTGATGAGAGGAACAGAGATGCCCACATCAACGCAGAGCTCAGACACAGAAAGGGGGGGACAGAGAGTCTTAGAGAAAGAGGCAGGACACCGAGTGGGGGGGGACAGGCCACACAGACACAGCCTCGGTCAGACAGAGTCAGAGCGACGCCTGGGCTGACAGACCCAGCAGCCGGCAGGACAGAAGAGGCACAGAGTGGGGCAGCACAGCGGGAGGGAGGAGCTGGCCTCCAGGGGGACTCTTGTCCATACCACGCGGGAGGGCCGGCCACCTTGGTGCTGCAATTCCAGGAAGGCATCCAGCTCCTCTCGGCTCCGCAGTAAGGGGGGCTCCTGAGGGCACGTGCATCCCGATGTCTGCAGTTTGCTCCTGAAACACACGTAGCCACCACTGCCCTCTGTGGCTGGTGGCCAGTGCCGGGCACCAGGGGGGAACCCGGCCCCAGTCCTTCCTGTAGGCACACCTGCAGCCCAGACCCAAACGACCCGCCTCGGGAGCCCTGCTTTGGCAGAGCGGCGGACAGGGGCGGCCCCTGCCGGCCACTGGGCAGTACTGTCCCGCCAAAGGAAGCCAGCGCTCGGGGGGAGGCCAAGGGCGAGTGGCAAGCTCACCCCTTGCCTGGTTCCCGAGGCCAAGCTCTGCCCCTCCTCAGCCCAGGGCTGCCAAGGGGCAGAGCTAGTGCCTGATGGTGAGAGGCGACCCCTCGGAGACTCTGAGATGAAGCTGGCACCACGCGAGGGGCGCCCAGGGCGTCTCTGCCTCCAACTGGGTGCTCTTGGGAAGGCGCCAGGAGCCCCGCGGGCAGGGCTTCCCACCGGAGTTGCCACCCAAGCCGGGTCAGGGACACGGCACAGCGTCCTCTCCTTTCAGCCAGCTTAGCCAGCTGTGCCCAGGAGCTAGAGGTGGGCCCGCTCACTGAGCCGAGGGAACCTGTCCGTGGGGACCGCTGCCAAAGCAGTGCCCTTCCGTGGCTGGTAGGCCCCCACGATGACCACTCACTGAGCTCTCCAGCCTGACCCCCGGGCCTTCTCTTTTGACCTCCTGTCCTTGGGGACTTTCCAGGGGACACGGGGAGAGACGTGCACAGAGACAAGCACAGGCATACAGACTTCTGAGCAGGAGCGGCTACCCGCCCCCCCCCCGCAGGGCGGTGCTGTGATGTCCAAATACCTGGGTCCACATCAGCCCGGAGCCAGCAGGTGGGCATTGCCCACCCCCCAGAACACTTCCCGAGGAACCTGGGCCACATGATCCCCAAGTCCCTTCCAGTTCTGACATCCTTGCATGAAACCCAAAGCAGGAGTGTTGGCAGTACGGGTCCCTGCTCTGTGCCTCCCCCTCCCGCCTCCCCCCAGCCCCTGAGACTAGCTGGGGAGGAGCTGAGACCACTAGGAAGAAAGGCAAGGTCCCTCCTCCCCAAAGGCCTGAGGGAGGCTGGGTTTGGACTCTCCAGGGAGTGCCCAGGACGCAGGTGTCCTGGGCCCCCGTCATCCTCCCCAACTACTCTCTCCTAGGTCTAGGACTTGAGGGAAGGAGGGGCAGGAGGTCCCCTGGGGGTTACCTGCTCAGTGGGTCCTGGAGGTCCCTGTCTGGCCCCCAACTATGTCTTTTGAAGGGGTGGTGGCTGTGGGCACGGAAAGCCCCTGACCTTCGGAGGGGCACAGCGTGGAAGCCATCTCCCTCCTTCCTTTTCCCCTCCTGCTCCTGCTCCTGCTCCTCCTCCTCCTCCTCCTCCTCCTCCAGCTGGGCTCTGGACTCGTCCACAGACAGGCAGCGGCGACTGTGGCCTCGCGACACCAGGTCTCCACCTGCGAGGAACTCCTTCGGGAAGTCTCCGCTCATGGGAGGCACGCGCAGGCCGGTCTGCGTCAAGAAGACAGCAGGGTGAGCAGAGTTCTAGAATTCTGGAACCTCGGAGCTGGGAGGGCATCACAGTCAGCCGGGCCCCCCTCCCTTCACGGGGGCGCGGAAGTGCGGAGTGGCTGGCTTGGGACGACCAGGAATGACTGCAGGACCACATCCGGGACCGGGCCTTCTGACTGTCATCTGGTCCTCTCTCTGGGGGATAGGACATCCTCGCTCACTTGTGATTACATTTGCCGAGCACCAGTATGGCAGAAAACCCAGCCAAGCAGAGAGAAACAGATACCTGTCCTTCGAGGGACTCACAGTGTGTGTGTGTGTGTGTGCACAGACAGAAGCCCAGATCACAAACGACTCAGTGGCCAGAGTGCCGAACGCCATGGAGAAGACGCAGCGAAACGCTTTGTAGCTGCTTGGAAAGCTCGGTGAAGAGAGGAAGTGGGTGGGCCTTGAGGGGGTCTGCAGGGGTGAGGAGTTAGGGTCTGGCCAAGTTGGGGAGGGAGGAGTCTAGGCAGGTAGAGCAGCAGGGAGGAAAGTTCATAAGAAAGTATTCTGGGGGCGCCTGGGGGGCTCAGTCGGTTGAGCGTCAGACTTCGGCTCGGGTCATGATCTCGTGGTTCGTGAGTTTGAGCC